AATTAAAACAAAAACCTGGAGAAGCAGTCGAAAGATATCATGCAAGATTCAAAAAGATTATAAAAAAGTTAGAAGAAATAGGAGAAGAACAAAAGATACTTTACTTTACTAGAGGATTAAGAAAGGATTACTTCCAATAATAAACTTGCATGAACCTGAAAGTGTAAAAGGAATAATTGATTTAATTCAAAGATATGAAGTAGCTGAAGATTTAGAAGAAGAAATAGAATCAGAGGATAAAGTAAAATATAAAAGAAGAGTTAACAAGAAGAAAAAGAAAGTAATTTTTGAAGAAGAATTTTTCAGCAATGAAGAAACACCTGTAAAGAAGACTACTAAAAAGAAAAAAGAATCAAAAGAAGACCTGATAGAACAATTAGTAAAACAATTTAAAGAATTGAAAATTGAAATAGCAAAGATTGAAAGACCCCAAAATAATGATATTAAATGTTGCAATTGTGAAAAGAGAGGTCACTTTAAAAAAGACTGCAGAAGCTTAAGAAGAAATAACAATAATAATTATGGATTTAACAATAGTAACAATAATTTTAACAGAAATAATTATCAAAACAATAATACAAATAATAATAATCAACAAGAAAATAGAACAAATCGAAATGAAAATGGAAGAAGAAACAATAATCAATACAATAACAGAAAACAATACAATAATAGAAATCAAAATCAAAATAATAATAATCAAAATAACACTCCTATTAATTTTATAAGTATTGAAGAAACTGATGAATATAATACGGATAAAGAAGTAAAAGAGATTACAACACTATTAAATGAAAACTTTGATAGTTTTGGAAATTTAAAAAGGAGAACTGTAAGACCAGAAGTAATTTATGATTATAAAACTGATCCAAAAAGAAAAAGGAATAAAAATTTTGAACCAGAACCAATGGAATGGACACCAAATAAAAATAAAAAGAAAATGGTAAAATCGCCTGAAAAACTATTTAAAGAAAGAAAACAATCAGAATTATTAAAAGGATCTGAATTTAACTTAATAAAGAAACTGCAAGAACAAAAATTAAAAATTACATTGCCACAATTATTATTATTTCGATTTTGGTT